CCCCTAGACCGCCCCCCTCGCCGCTGCCGCCTGCCCCAAGCCCGCCACCCCCATCGCCGCCCCCACCAGCACCACCTCAGCCTTCACCGCCGCCGCCCTCTCCACTTCCACTGCCCTCGCCACCTCAACCATCGCCGTCACCACCACTCGGTCGGCGAAAGCTAGTAGACAACGGAGGCCTCAGGAGCAGATTCAGCCATCAAAGTAGGATTCGAAGTGAAGCCGGAGGGAGACCTGCAGCTCGATTGGTAGGCGGCCTCGTCGTGGCACTGTTTGGGACCGCGGCGCTGGTCAGCATCTCACGAAGCCTTTGCAGTGCGGTGCCTCAGCCACTCTTGCCTATCGTACGGAAGTCGGCGCGGAAGTTCGCAAAGTAAAACCGCAGGGCTGGAGCGATTTCATTCAGGAAAACGTATAGGCGAGTGCGCCGGCGTGTTGGCTCCTCTGCAGCACTGACAGGCAGTCGCACACGCCCCGCACGCAGAGAGGCAGCCTTCAGCTTCACAGCCGTAGATGTACGTTGTTAAAAGCCTCGGCTAAACCCACCGCAGGAGCCCCAGCAGGGCGCCCACCCTTTGAAGCCTACCCTTTGAAGCTGCCGCCCGGGTGTGTGGGTGTGACTCTGCGGTGACATATGAGATATGTGTGGCCATGTGAGATGTGTGTGTGGTCACACGCGGTTCTCTCTCCTCAGGGCCTCCCCTCTCCTCAGGGGCCTGGACTCGTTGTGACGTGTATTACACGTTGTACTTGTGTGTTCTCTCCCCGCGCACTCCCCCATAACCCCTTTTTTGACGCATTTGACACCACCGACGTAATACACCCGCTTGACACGTAATCCTCCCCTCTCCCTATATGCTGGAGTGGGTAGCATGCCCGGTGTGTTTAAGGATCGAACTACGAGCATTGACGTGCGTGGAGCACTCTCTCCTAAACCCGCCCAGCGGGAGCCTGCACGGGGATCACATGGGGTGTATCCCCTGCGTCGTTGGCAGCCACCACCGAGTCAACCGACGGCAGGCGGCGGTGCTGCCCCTTCGCGCGACTCCGGTCTCGCGACCGCTCAAACGAGGGCACCCGAGCGAGGCCGCTGACGAAGGCGTGTACCGCAGGGGAGCTGATGGGGTTGGGAGGGGGTGATGGGGAGCCCATTGCTGTGCTCGATGTGTGCTGCGTTGCTGGGGTAGCAGTCCCCTTGATTCCGATGTTGGGGCGCTGCAGCGCTGACAGAGAGAGGCGAGCTGCCACCGTGTCTGGAGCCGTGGCAATTAGCCCAACGATGATCCCTGCGACGATGATGCAGACGCCCGCCAGTGCGAGGGCGAGCTGCCAGTCGTCCATGTACTGGTACTCGTCGTAGAAAAGCAGCCCGGCGAGGACGGAGGCGACATTGAGCGCGCCGTACTCGATCGGCAGCGCCACCGTCGTCTCGTACCGGCGGTACACCACCGCGAGCCAGACTGACGTCGCGATGGCACAGCAGACGCCAGTGGAGGCCATGAGCCAAAAAGCGCGGCCCTCGACCGGCTCGCCCGAGGCCAGCATCGAAGTGAAGGCACGGATACCGCAATCGGCGACCGCCTCGTCTAGCCCGAGACCGCCCGGGTAGATGAGCACCATTGCGGCAGCGAGGCACCACGGCGGCTGCGGCAGCTCGCGCTGCGGCTGCTTCGGTGCGTCCGTGCGCGCCCGACGCGCAATCGGACTTGAGTCGGGCGACGCGACCGGCGTCTCAGTTTGCGCCACTGCATCCTCTTTGGCCCCGCCCGCGCCCTTGCCCTTCCCTCGTGCGCAACACGAGCAGCTTGAGCCGTAGTAGCGCACCTCGTACGCCGTGATTGAGCAGACGGAGAGGGCGACGATGCCGAGGCAGACGCCCAAAAAGGTGAGGCCGCCAGAGTCAAGGAAGGCCTCGATCTCAGCCGGCGTGAATTTGGTCGGTGTATCGTCGGGCGCTCCGACGCCGACCACCACTGCGCCGAGCAGCACGACCAAGCAGCCAGCCACCTTCCCCCGCGTGATTGGCTCACGCAACAGCAGGTGGGCAAAGACGAGGTTGAAGATGATGAGGGTGGAGAAGACGGAGGCGAGCACCGTCAGCGGACCGAGGTTGAGCGCGAGGATCTTCAGGCCCGATGCGCAGCCGTACAGCATAAGCCCAAACAGCCACGCGACAAAACGCGGCACGTGCCACCGGTTCACGCGCGGCAGCAGGGGCACACGCGGCCCATCGTATATCAAGGCGTGCCGCTGCGCGGGTTATGGAAGGGGGGCGGGGGGGGGTTAATACACTGCCAGGCGAGGGAGGCGAGAGGTGTCCGGGTCCGCGAAGGGGGGCCGGGCCGTGCGCCACCTGCACGTTCATGCTGTAGGCTAGCACCGCCGCGGCGAGGGTCATCACCCCAATGCCCGCGGCGATCGAAGCCCCGCCGTAGTCATCGCCAGCCGGGTCGGTACCGTTGACCGGCAGCAGCGGCGGCGGCGGTGGGCTCGCCATGGCTTGAGGCGCCTTCTTCTCTCCACTGGCCAAGCGGGTCCAAACGGGGCGGGCGCCGACGGGCACGCGCCGGGTGAATTGAGGCGGCAAACGGGTCCCCCGCGCGTGTACCATCTCTAACTCTGCTTTGGTCTTTTAGCAAGCGAGGTCAGGTTCCACTCATTTCTCGCTGGCTCAATTCATCCCTCCCGGTCATTACGTGGCTTGGACCAGCACGGCGGGTTTTTGACGCTAAGCCTTGGCGGGTCTCTACAGCCCAGCCCTTGATTGAAGCCTATCCCTCGCGTTCGAACCGCCTCGTTGTAGCGCGCACAATACGTGCCATCGAGCTCGTCGCCGTGGGCGCTAAAGGTGGAGAAGGGGCTCGGGTTCAGGCGCGGAGAGTGGGCGTACATCCGCTTGGCGAGCTTGTTGTTGAGAAAGGCGAGCTCCACCGCACTGATGTTGTACGTGCCGCACGCCGGCGAGCCAGGGTCGTCCCTCCCGTAGCGGAACTTGTAGGCAAAGGGGTGCCGGTGCAGCATCTCGCGCCAGTCCTCGGACATCTGCGGCCCGCAGCAGACCCGGAGCACGTCCCACCACCTGATGAACTGCAGTAGCACGTCTGTCTCGTCATCGGTGAGCCCCAGAGCGCGCTGGTAAACGAGCGCGCTGTGGTAGCCCATCCGCGCTGCATCCCTGACGGGCAGAAGCAACCCGACGGTGTGGTTTGCCTTGCGGAGCGACTCGGCGTAGTCTGCCCGTGTCGTGAACGCGGCTGTCACCTCACTGGGCGGTATTTGCAGCACTCTCTTGAGCGTGTGCTCTTTCCACACGGTGTTGGAGTTGGCCGTTGCCTTTAGGTAGTGGTGCTCGCCCCAAAAGCCGCAGAAGGTCCGGCTCAGCCTCCTGGGGTAGTTCCACAGGCGAAGCACCAGACCCGCGCAGACAGTCATGTGCTGAAGCGTGGTAGCTGTCCGGTAAGGGCCCACCTGCACAAGGTGGATTGGAGTGCCCGGGAGAGGCCCCTTGAGCACAGTTCGCTCCGCCCTGTATTCCATGCTCGAGGTGCCAGACGCAGAGCCATCAACCATGGAGGCAAAGGCAGACATGGTGACAGCACCGCTTGATGCAAAAGCGCTTGCTCGGATACGGTCCGGGAGATGCTCGGCTCAAGGGTGCTTGCCTGCCGCTCGTGTTGCTCGTGCGGCCAAGTTTCACGTTTCCCATTCATCCGGGATGTTTACCGCCTTGTTGTTGAGAAGAAAATAATTTCAGAGGTTGAGGTGCGAGCCCGTGGAGGCCCTGGGGATGTGGGGCTTGGGGGGGGGTGGGGGGGGGGGGGACTACCCGCGTGGCTTAGAAGCGAAGCATAGAAGGCCCGCGCGCACAGGCCAGGGACAGGGGGTTGGGGCAATGGGGTTAATTGGGACATTCAGTCATTCACAGACCTTGTTATTGAGAAGGAAATACCTCCTATGGCGCTGCGCGCTGTTCACAACGACACGGGCACAACCCCGGCCAAAGATCACGCACACTGGACAAGACTCAAGAGTTTAAAGCTAAGCGAGCACTTTGGAGCAGAGGAGGGACCCTCTCGCGCCGGCACAAGCCCCACCCGCCACGTGTCCCCTGCTTGCCCTCAGCTCACGCGCCTTACCCTCGGCGGACGGCGCAGAGAGACAAAGCCCTGTACACCTCTTGGGACTAGGCTCTACTCGCAGTCATACCATACAATGATCGCGGTGCGCGCCGTCACCTTGCGCGCGGCCCGGCGCGATGCTCCGCCGCGTCAGAGAAGAGATGGAAGGGGCAAATCACTCGCGAAGGGCGCTCTTCGCCGCGTCGCCGAACCAGCTCGCAAACTTGCGCACGTGTCCCGGCAGCATCTCCGCGTCCACAGCCACATCGCGGAGCTCCGCCTCTCTCAGCTCGGAGAGGTACAAGAGGTCGTCGTAGCCGAGGTCCTATGGCGCACCGCATATGTGCTCACCAACACACAACACAAACGGACCGACGCTTCGCCGCCCTTGGGTCCTCCAGCTTTTGCGCGTATCGCAGCAGGCCAAGCCGTTCGAGCACCTATGAGGCAAGAGAGGAGGATGGACACACAGCGGCGCGGAGGAGCTCCTCCCCTCCTCGCGCGCACCGCGGTGACCTCCGACGCTCCTCCAACGCCGGCGCTGGGCGCGGGCGCTTCGGTGTGCACCACGAGCTGCTGGCTGCCGCTCTGGCCAGCCTGGCTCGCCTGGTTGCCACCCTGGCACTGGCCACCCGGGCTGGCAGCCACGTTGCCGCGTTGGCTGCCTCCGCAGCAGTGAGCACAGAGCCAGTCGCCCCGCGGGATGGCCGAGAGCGGCGGCGAGACGCAGAGCAAGTGGTAGGCAGCCTCGCAGCCGTCGCCGTCGCAGAGCAGGATCTCGTTGCCAGCGGTGTCGTCGCCGCCACCGCAGGCGACGCAGCTGGCGTCCGTCTCTACGATCTGCACGCCTGGGGAAGGCGCCGCAGGCAGGTCGAGTGAGTTGCGGACGCCTCGTCTTCGTGCGCGAGGGGGAGGGCTGGGAGGGGGGGCATGGGGACAGCAGCGTGCCTTGGGGCGGGTCCGAGGAGCTGCCGCCGAGAGGTTCGGAGCCAGCGGCCAGCCCGCCACTGCTCTTTCCCCGAGGGCCGTCAGAAGCGCTTTCCTCCGCGCGCGGCCTCTTGGTGCCGGGTGCCGGTGCCGCAAGCGCGGCCTCACCGCGGTGCTTGCGCCACGCGTCGGGCACCGACACGGCTCGCAGCCCCGCCGGGCCGTGGTACACGAGGTAAGTGCGCTCCGACGAGGTCGTGCGCTGCTCGACGCTCCAGCCTGGAGGAAGAGCCGCAACCGTGGCGCTACGGCCGCCGCCGCCGCCCTGCTCCGCCGCATCCTCGCCGCCGCCCGCACCGCCCTCGTCGCCGCTGCCGACCTCGCCGCCGCCCTCCGCCTCCGCCTCCGCCTCCGCCTCCGCCTCCGCGGCCGCGGCCGCCTCCGCCTCCGCCTCCGCCCCCGCCTCCGCCTCCGCCTCTGCGGCCGCCGCCTCAATCTCGGGCAGGATTGGGTGAAGGCAGCGGCGGTGGATGCAGCACTGCTTCTGCGTGCCCGGGCCGCCAAACTTGGGCTTGTCCATGCAGTGCTTGCACGCCCCGCAATCCGGGGTCAGGCAGGCAGCGCACGCCTGGCACCGCTTCTTCTTCTTGCCAGGCACCCCCGGCACGCGCGAGCCGCGCGCCGACGGCCGCCGCGCGGCAAAGACTGGCTCTCCCTCGAGGCGCCGCCACAGCACCCCCTCCGTGTCCTTCCAGAACCACGTCGGCATCTCCTCCCCCTCCTCCCCAGAAGCTGCCGCCGCTGCCGTCTCCGCCGCCGCCCCTGCCGTCACCTCCACGCCGTCTATCACCACGGCCTCCTCCTCATCCTCCTCGTACTCCTCGTACTCCGCCGTCTCCGCCTCCACCTCCTCCTCCTCCTCTTCTGCCGCCGCCGCCGCCGCCGCCGCCGCCGTCTCCATCGCGCTTCCCGTGGCCGGCTCCACAGCCTCCCCCGCCCCAGCCGCCGCCCCTGCCTCCGCCTCTGGCGCCTCCGCCACCGCCTCCGCCGCCGAGCCGCCGTCAGTGAGTAGCAGCGGGCCCGCCGCTCCGGCGTCGGCAGCGGCACCGCTCCAGACGCGCGACCACGCGGCGGCCGCCTCGTCGCTGCACAGGCGGCCGAGGAAGGACCCGTTCTCGTGCACGCGCGTGACCGCCGCGTACCGCCACTCCCCGACCGGACAAGGCCCGCTCGGCCCTGCCTCGCCGGTCGAGGCGCCGCCCTTGCCGCCCAGCAGTGGTGCCGCTCCCTCCTCGCCCTCCTCGCCCTGCTCCGCCTCGCACCAGACCTGGAAGAGCTGCCGCACCTGTGGCGGCTGCCAGATACCGCCCCCCTGGGACGCCTCGTGCCGCAGCAAGAGCACGTCGAGGATCGCGCTGAGCGAGCGTAGGCCCTTCCCTCCCCGATGCTCTGGCGGGAAGGCGTAGATATCGCCGTCCTTTGTGCCTTGCGAGGCGTGGCGAGGCACCCACTTGATGCGCCATCCGTGCACCTCCTGGCTCAGGTTGCGCTTCCCCGCCGAGCACGCGGCACGCCACACCGCCTCGGCCTCCTCGTCGCCAGCCAAGCACTCCAGGAGTGGCGTATTGACGGTGAGGCTTGCGTGGCGCGGCCTCGCCCGCTGCTCGAGGGACTTGGGCCGCAGGGCCAGCTCGCTGCGGCTGACCCCGTGCACAGTGTCGTCCTCCGCCTCGTAATCGCCATACCAGGCGGGCAATTTGCGGGCGCGCTTTGGCGGGGGCGAACCGTCATCAAGAGACGATAAAGGAGCTGGATTCATGCCTGGCACAGCGCGATTATCATGTCGCGGCTCGATTCTTTCCTTTTTGACGACAACAAAAGAAAAACCCGCGTCTCTGAGCCAAAAAAGCTTTGGGTTTTTTTACTCGAGCGTCTTCAGCCCTACCTATACCCTGCGAGCGGGCCGAAGGTTGGTTCTGCGCTTTGGGTGTCCCCTAGCGGCGGAACGCCCCCCTCTACTCGGAGCTAATAGACACCAGACACGCACACGACGTGCATCCCGTCACTCGACGTCACCCCCCAGGGCCCCTCCGCTCGGCCTCCCCGCCCCCCCATCCGAAGGGGCTCCCTCCTCCTCCCGGTCCTCCCTCCTGTTCGCTTTCCGATGGTCAGGCAGACGGCTGCGGAGCGAGCGTGCCGTCCCCTCTTATACTTCTTCGGCCGCGGCCCCGCCGCCGTCTCGTCCTCTCTGCCTGATCCCGTTGACTCCGCGGGCGATCCAGTGCCCGACTCTCCCCGAGTGAGGGCGGCGGCATTGATTGGGTCGTGTCGCCTCCCCTCCGGCGCCCGGGAGGTCGGGCCGGCTAAAAAAAGAAACAAAGAAAGAAAACGGACAACCCAAGGGAGGGATGGGAGGACGGCACGCCGCCACCACACAGGGATTTTAAGGAGAGGGGTGTGTGTGGTGCGCTAGTCGTCGCCCACCCTTGGGCGTCCGCCTCTTCCTATCTCTCTTCGCAGTCTCTCTCCGATTCTCGCTGCGACCTTCGTGCCACCTCGCGGTCGCCCCCTTCTCGTCGTGCTCTCGCTTGTCGCTTCTTCCTCTAAAGAAAGAAAGAAAGAAAACAGACAACCCAAGGGAGGGATGGGAGGACGGCACGCCGCCACCACACAGGGATTTTAAGGAGAGGTGTGTGGTGCGCTAGCCGTCGCCCACCCTAGGGAGTCTGCCTCTTCCTATCTCTCTTCGCAGTCTCTCGCCGCTTCTCGCTGCAACCTTCATGCCACCTCGCGGTCGTCCCACTCTCGTCGTTCTCTCCCTTGTCATTTCCTCCTCTGTCGCGTCGTTCTCTTCTGCCTCGTCCTGCGACGCCGCCGCCTGCCGGTCCCTTGTTCTCGCGGCTTCTTTCGCCTTTCGGCGCAACTCCGTCCTCCTCGCGGCGTATCCTGGCCCCTCGAGTCTATCGAGCTCCCCTCGCGCAAGGACCACATTTCTGACTCCCACTCCGATCATTTGCCTACAGGTCATGTTGTTGCTCAGGTCCACTCTCTCTTCGAACACTCGTGCCTCTACGGATGATGCCGGCGCTGGGGTCCCCTTCGGATGCATCGTGACATCTGACAACTGGATTTCCACTGGTTCGTCCTCCTCGGAGTCATCTTCCCCGTCCTCCTTCCGCTCGGCTCTTCGCTCGGTACGTTCGGTGTGGCTCACCCTCCATGCCGTGAACAGGCGCTTTATCCACCCTATATTCTTCTCTCGTTCCTCTGCCCGTGCCTTGGTCTTGTCGTTGTTTCGCACCCATGTCTGTATGGCAATCGAGGCTGCCTTCCCCACTACCTGTAGTTCACTCGTCACCTCTCCCGCGAGCTCCCTTCTCTTTCTTTCGGGTATGGAGTCCGTGAGTGCGGGCAGCGTGCAGGCAATCACGGGCGCTATTTTGTCGTACTCCTCTTCGGCGAGCGCTCCAAATCTAGACCCTTTCGCCTTTAAGGAGGCTGCCCTCGCTCGTCTCAGGAATGTGGCGGTGTCTTTTGAGTCCGGCGCCTCCCGTTCAACTCTTGCTGTCGCCCTCGCTGTGTGTTTGTCGAGCTTCCGCATGAAGTGACGCGCCTCTTCCTTATAGCTTATTTCCAGCGCAGCTGCCGCTCAGACCTCAGTATGTGCGCCAACGACGCCTGTGGTGGTTCACTGTCTTCTTGTTTCCAGTCGTCCCAGTCTCTCAGATTCCCGCGTCTCCTCCTTGCCTCGCGCGCCTCTTTTGTGGCCTCATCCCTAGCCGCTTTGCACGCTCTGTCGGGCGAAATTGCGTCGGATTTCTCCTTGCGCAGGCCGAAGCTCCGCCGACACCGCTTCCCGCTCTCGTCGCTGTCCAGGCTAATGGGCGGCCTCCGCGTCCTCGTCGCCGGGGACAAGTCGCACGCCGGAAAGTCCACAATCTCGCTCGGGCTCCTCGGCGCGCTGCTCGAGGCCGGCTACAAGCCCGCCGAGCTTGCCTACATCAAACCGGCGACGCAGTGCGTCTCATCGACGCTGACTGCTCGCTTCTGCGAGGCGAACGGAATCGCGTGCGTCCACGTCGGACCGCTCGTCTTCTACCGCGGCTTCACGCGCCACTTCCTCGACGAGCATCCTGACGACTCGGTCGCCGCGTCGGCAGAACTCGTCCAGAAGTGCGCCGCCGCCGTCGAGAGCCTCTCTGCGGGGAAGAGGCTTACAGTGATAGACGGCGTCGGGTACCCATCGGTCGGCTCCATCGTCGGCTGCTCCTCCGCCGACCTCGCCGTTGCGTGCGGCGCGCCGGTCCTCCTCGTTGGCAAATCAGGCGCCCGGCCCCGCCCGCGGCCTCTCGCCTCTCCCACCTCCCGCCCCGACGCCTCGCCTGCGGTTGGGCGCGGGCAGGCTTGGGCGACGCGATCGACTCGTTCAACCTCTGCGCCCGCTACTTCGAGGCGCAGCGCGTGCCTGTCCTCGGCGCGGTCTTCAACCGCGTGCCCTCCTCTGGCTTCTACGGGTGAGCCGGCTGCCTGCGGCACACACCTCCCCGAGTGCGGCACACACCTCTTTGACGAGTGAGAGAGGTCGCGTCGGCGCGGCAGGCGGGAGAAGGTGTCGGCCTACTTCACAAAGTACTTCGAGACCCACCGGCCGAAGCAGCGCGTGTATGGCCTGCTGCCAGAGGCGAGCGGGCTCGACACCGGTGCGGAGGAGTCGTGCTCCTTCGCCTTCAAGCACCCGGAGGCGCGGGGGCCTGCCCCGCCCCTCGCCCCTCCGAGCTGTGTGCTCCGCAGCGTGAAGAAGAGTCGCCCCTCTCCAGCAGCGCCCTCCTCCCCCGGCTCCTCGACTACTCCTCCTCCTCGAGTCACCGCCGCCGCCTCCTCGCCTCTCACCGGCTGCTGCTCGGAGCGACGCACCCGGCGGCTCAGCGCGGCGCTGGCCCGCTGCCGCAGGTGCCGCCGCCCGCGGGGCCGATGAGCGAGGGCGACGAGGCGGCGGTGAAGGCGGTCGGCCAGCTCTTCGCAGACTGCGTCGACATGACGGCGCTGCTGCAGGCCTTGCTTGCACGCCTCCGCCGCTTCACACCTCCATGCTTCACACCGCCGCTTCACACCTCCACCGCTTCACACCGCTTCACACCTCCATTGCTCCGCTTCCATGCCTGCTACAGATCGGCCCACCGCCGCATTTCACCTGCCACCCTAGCCCCGCCCCGCCTCTCCCCCCCTCCCACCTCTCCGGCAGGACCTCGATGCTGCCTGCAAGTCGCCGGATGCTTACACGAACAAGCTCGTCTGCTTCGCCGGCACGGATGCGGCCTGAGAGCTTGTCGCTGCACCCCCTCTTCCTCGCCCGCAGGCGGAGTGCGTCAGGAGTGCGTCAGCCGTGGAGCTCCGGGGATTGACGAATTGACCAGTTCCCGCGTTGAACCGTTGATGGACGCCACGGCGAGGCGTGTCCTAGGGCGTGTCCGGCGTGTCGCCGAACCAGTCACGCTCTCTCACGAAGCTTTCTGTGTGTCGTGTGCGCATGCGCATCCTCGTGTCGTCATGATCCACTCGTTCCCCTCCCAGGCTGCGCTTTTCTCCGTTTGTTTTGGCTTTTGTGCGCTTGGCACACTCCACACACACACAGCTCGACAGCTCCTTTTTCTGCCCTTTCATTCGCAAGTCTCGTTTTCTTCACGCGTTAGACGTTTCACCTCTCTGCTTCTCCGGTACGTTCTCGCACCCTCACGCGTCACGTCACCAAACTCTCGCTTTATTTAGCCTAGAGGCTTAGCCCCTTCACGGCTTTTAGCGTGCACACACCTCTCCTTAAAATCCCTGTGTGGTGGCGGCGTGCCGTCCTCCCATCCCTCCCTTGAGTTGTCTGTTTTCTTTCTTTCTGTTAGCGTGCTTCGTGCTAGGTGTTTGGGAGATTTTTCGTTTTACGGCGGCAAAAAAAAAAGGGTGCTGGGAGCTGGGGGTGCTTTGCGGTCTACACGAGGAGCTGGAGGGAACCGAGGTCCGAGCCGACCTCCCGTCCTCCCCCATGCGTCCTCCCCGCTGGCGCCGCTGCCTCCCCCCGTCTTCGAGCAGTCTCATATTGTTTCATCACACAGAGACACACAGAGCGGAACCAGTACGTTCTCGCGCGCTCACGCGCCACGCGACTCATCGGTCTCGATCCCATGCTGGTTGCTCTGCGGATTGCGAGAGACACCAGACTCCGGAGCGGGCGCCGCCCGTCGGCTTTCCCTCTCTGCGTCCGGGCGCACGCAACACGCTCCGACGCGGAACAAGCCACTCGATGGGGCAATGCATCCACCTCCAAGCCCCCGCGCCTCCCTCGGCTACGCACGCCGCTCTCACACCGCGACCCTCACGGTGCCGTCCCGCGGCTCATCATGGGCGAGGCGACGGCGGTGCAGCGCGCAGACGACTTGTGCGGGTCGGGCTGCTTTGCGAATAGCGAGACGGTGATGCAGCCGGCGGCGGTGAGGCCCATCCCGAACAATCCGCTCGGCGGCGGCACCTTGGCCTCCAGCACCGCGGAGAGGAGGAGCACCACGACCGAGTTCGAGCCTAGCAGGGCGGGAGGGACGGGTGGCGCGACGAGCGGGAGGCGCGTCGCGCGCTGCGCTGCGAGGCGAGGCGCCGAAGATTGCGATGGCGATGCTCGTGTATGGGCCGGCGCCGAGCGCCTCGTTGATCGCGTAGACGCCGCTCGCCTGCAGCAGGCCGCAGAGCATGGGCAGCGCGACCTGGTCACGCAGGGCGTGGTCGGGGGCGGGAAGGTGCCACCGCGAGGAAGGAGAGGAGGGGGACGGGCTGCCCCGAGGGGAGTGACGCCGCTCCAGTCCGCGCACAGCAGAGGCAGCACGCCCACCACGCCCATGCAGATGGTGCCTGCGCCCAAGCACTCCGCGCGTGAGGCGAGGTGGGGGTGGCCACGCGCGACGGCCCGCGGCGGCAGCGAGCGCGTGCGATGAAGCCGCTCGCCGCCGAGAGGCCGCCGACCGCCGCCACCCGGACCGAAAAGACGGAGGCGCCAAAGCAGAGCATCGCGCCTGGAGGAGGGGCAGGGGGGGGGGGGGGGGCGGGTCAGGCCCGGGCCGCTCTCGTGCCACGGCAGGGCGAGGGGAGCGGCGCACAGACGGCAAAGCCGAACCCGGTCAGCGAGACGCCGCCGCCTCCTCCGCCAAAGGGCCCGGCCATGGTCACGAGGCCGGCAAAGACGAGGGCGACCGAGCCCCACTGCCCGGGCGTGAGCCGCTCGTTGTAGAAGAAGTGGCACAGCAGCGAGACGAGGATCACGTCGGCACACACCACCGAGGCGAGCGGCCCCATGGCCTCCGGGTCCGCGGCAAAGCTCAGCTTCATGAAGAGCTGCGCGCCTCCGATGGCGATGCCGCCCGCCACCGTGACGACCTTTGGCATGAGCGGCAGCGGCGGCGGCTCGGAGCTGGGCAGGAGCGCCGAGCTGAGCGGCGTCTCTTCGCTGTCGGCGAAGAAGACGCCGCGCGAGCAGTTCATGCACAAAAAGACGGCGCCGCACAGGCCAGTTGCGAGCCAGAGCAGACCGACGGTGCGGTTGAAGTCGTCGCCAGGGAGCGAGTTGGTGTAGCCAATGATGTAGTTCTGGGGCGCCAGGCAGGGCGAGGGAGACGTGGTGAGGCGGAGGCCAAGGCGTGGTGAGGCGGCGGCCAAGGCGTGGTGAGGTGTGCTTCTCTCTCTCGCTCGCTACTCTCTCTCTCTCCCTCTCTCTCTCTCTCTCTCTCTCTCTCTCTCTCTCTCTCACACACACACACACACACACACACACACAACTCTGACCTGGAGTCCAAATATCCACATCGCGACGACAGACCAGCCAACCGCTTTGCAGAGACCCGGCGCCATCGCCGCGCAAAAAGTGCGCGACGAGGAAAAAAAAGGCTTGAAGAGTCTTCCCGCGTTGTTCCCTTGGCGCTTGAGCCTTGACCTGATGGTGATCTCGATTCTCGGTCCTCTCGATCTCTCGTTCCATCATCCAAACGCAAACCTCTTTGGACTTTGCGCCTTTTGCTTTTCTCCGCAAGCGGCAAGGGCCAAGGGCCAAGGGACATCCTTGCTCTGGGACCACTCGCGACTCGGCTAGTGCGGGCTCGATTTCTTTCGTAACACGTAAGGTTTCTCAACGACCGCGTCTCGCCGCGGCACCCAAACCCGCAAAAGTGCTGGAGAAGGGACCAACGGGTCTCAGCAACTCGACTCACCATCACTCCTCGTCCGAGTCCGAGCCATAAGCCCCCAGCCCGAGTAGGCCACCGGGCTCTGGAGCCGCACCGCCACCGCCGTCTGGGCTGCCGGCGGCTGCTGGTGCCGGCGCCGCCGCAGCGGCCGGCGCCGGCGCCGCGGGAGCCCCCTCCCCCGCGGCTCCTGGACCACAAGCAGCCGGCCCCTTCTTGACCACAAAGTTGGGCAGGCGCGAGGGAGGCGCTACCCGCTTCTTGGCTGGCGCCGCCGCCGCCGCCGCCGCCGCCTCGGCCGGCTTGGGCGCGGGCGTGAAGGCGTCCCGCACGGGCGGCAGCGGCGGGCGGCTCGCCTCGGAGGCGGCGGCACGCGCGGCGGAAAAGGCGTCCTTCTCGGACTGGGCGCGCTCAGCCAGCGCGTTCCTCTGCGCCAGCTGCGCCCTGTCGAAGTGAGTCAGCTTGTCTGCGTTGCGCCCGCGGCCGCGCCGCGTGAGCGAGCCCTGCGCCGCCGTCTTGGCCACCGTAACAATCAGGTAGCCGTCGTCGAAGCGCGAGCCGTCGAAGCGCTCGATGGCGGCGGCGGCCGCCGCCGCGTTGTCGTACGTGCAGCTCAGCTCGCCCTCGCTCTCGCCCGTCTCCTCGTCGCGGTACATGCGGATGCGGCACGGGCCCACGCTCGAGAGCAGCGCGTGCATCGCCGACTCGCTCGCGTCGCCCAAGCCTGCCCGCGCCCAACCGCAGGCGAGGCGTCGGGGCGGGAGGTGGGAGAGGCGAGAGGCCGCGGGCGGGGCCGGGCGCCTGATTTGCCAACGAGGAGGACCGGCGCGCCGCACGCAACGGCGAGGTCGGCGGAGGAGCAGCCGACGATGGAGCCGACCGATGGGTACCCGACGCCGTCTATCACTGTAAGCCTCTTCCCCGCAGAGAGGCTCTCGACGGCGGCGGCGCACTTCTGGACGAGTTCTGCCGACGCGGCGACCGAGTCGTCAGGATGCTCGTCGAGGAAGTGGCGCGTGAAGCCGCGGTAGAAGACGAGCGGTCCGACGTGGACGCACGCGATTCCGTTGCATTCGCGAGGGTGACGTGGCGGGGTGTTTCACGAGGAGGTAGAAAGTCGGGCGCGAGCGGGCGAGGCAGCGGCGAGGCGGCGGGAGGGTGGCGAGGCGATTTTAAATAAATAAATACAACGGACATCCCAAGCGAGGGCTGGGTCGAGGACAGACACGTCCCCACCTTTTTGCAGGATTTTGCAAAAGCGAGGGGGGAGGGCGCATCGGGCATCGCCGCGCGGAGAGGGCTGGGCACAGGGCACAGGGGATCTCTCTCGCATAGGATATGCACTCGGCGGCACGAGGGCAAGGCTGGGCGTCCTATGTTTGTGCTCCCCCCCGGACCCCTCGCTCTCGGGCACTAACCATCTGACCACTCATCGACGGGGCTTTGGCGAGCGGCCGCGCTGCGGGGCAGGGCTGGTCGGAGAAACTGAGAATGGGCTCTGGCCACTCGCCCGTGCGGTTGTAACCGCGCATCAGCCGAACGGAGGCCTCGACCGCCCCTCGGCAAGCTCTCGAGCATCTCGAGCAGCTCGCCCGCCGCCATCGCCGCCTCGAACTGCTCCCTCATGCCGAGCGCGCCGCAGACCTTGCATACAGCCTCTTGCTGCACCTCGTCCGGTAAATCGGTGTCGTAGCCGGACGAGTCGGCGGAGGAAGCCCGCTTGGCGGGCGGCGAGTCTCTATCATGAGTGGGCGTTCACGCTCGAACACTTTTGACCGCAGCGAATATGTTCACACCTTGAGCGGAGGCCAATTGATTCGCGATACTCTGGCAAAAAAGGGGTTGGCAACGGGCTTTTGCCCGGGCAAGCCTTCAGCTGGTGCCAACGTACCAAAACGTCCGTCCCGTCGACCAAATACGCGGTCGGTAGAAATGGCTTGCTTGCAAGAATGGGATGCCGACAGGCGTCAGGCGGCGCATGCCGAGAAGTCGCTTGCCGTGCGGGAGCTCGTGCGCCTCTCCCTGCGCGTGCAGTCCACGGGCGTCGTCGCGGAGCTTCATCTCGACACGGCACTGGTTGCTCCGAGCGGCAGCGGAGCTGATCACGAGC